AGCTGAAGTAGCCTGCAGTGCTGCATTTAACCACTGCGCCACCTCGGCTCTTCATGTGACGCTGTCCAAATGCAAGTTTCATAAGACCTCCCTTGACTGCCTGGGCTACTGAGTGTCAAATGAGGGAGTTGAAAAAGTTTTACCCAGGAAAAGTAAAAGCACTACTGGACTGGCAATCCCCATGCACCTGCAAGCAACTCCAAAACTTCCTGGGATTTGCAAACTTTTACACATAGTTCATTCCAGCTTTTGCTGAAGTAGCCCTACCCCTGATGGAGCTGCTGAAAGCAGGAAGGGCTGCTTCCAAACCATAGCCAAACCAACCATTGGCCTGGTCATTGGATTGCCAAAGAGCATTTGAAAACTCTACAGAAACTCTTCGCAGAAGAACCCATTCTTCATTACCCCAACCCAGAATGGCAGTTCATTGTTCAAGCTGACAACAGCAACATGGCTGTAGCAGTGGTGCTCTTCCAAAAGAACCCCTAGGGCCAGCTCCTACCCTGCACCTATGTGTCCAAAAAGCTCACTGACACCGAAAGGTGTGGGCAATATGGGAAAAAGAAGCCTATGCAGTCAGGTGGGCCCTTCTCTCCTGGGGGCACTTTCTGAAGGAGAGTAGGGTGCCCTTTTATATCTGGACTGACTATAGGAACCTTGAGGCTCCTACCCTGCACCTATGTGTCCAAAAAGCTCACTGACACCGAAAGGTGTGGGCAATATGGGAAAAAGAAGTCTATGCAGTCAGGTGGGCCCTCCTCTCCTGGGGGCACTTTCTGGAGGAGAGTAGGGTGCCCTTTGATATCTGGACTGACTATAGGAACCTTGAGGCCCTAAAAACCCCCCAAAAAACTCTCCCCCAAGCAAGTGCACTGAATACAGTATTTTAAGCACTTTGACTTCAATATAAAATACATGCAAGGGGAAAGAACCTGCTGGCAGAGCCTTGTCAAGAAAGCCATAGTTTAATAGTCAGCACACAATCATTCCCCCCTCCCAACAGGCAGCTCAGATCACCACAAGAGGTCCAGCTAGATGTTGGGACGACCCCAGAGGGGATCAAATGATGACGGCACTAAAGTCTGCACTCCCAGCTGTCCAATAGTTTGGAGATAACTGAGACACCCTAACTCTAAGGGATGGGTTGGCTTGGAAAAGATCCAAGCTGTATGTTCCTGGCAGCTTGAGGCTTCAGATCCTACAGCAAAGCCACAACTCCTGGTTGTCTGGCCACTTCAGATTCCTAAAGACCCTCCACTTAGCCAGGAGGCAATTCTGGTGGCCAAAGATTAAAGCAAATGTAGAAGATTACATTAAGAGCTGGTCTACAAGTGTGACCATGAAGTTGAGACCGGGTATACCTCCTGGGCTTCTACAACAAATGACTGACCCTTGCCAGCCCTGGGAAGAAATCACCATGGACTTTATAGTCGAACTCCCAGAGCGTGGAGGGAATGCGGTCATTTGGACCATGATTGATTTATTCTCAAAGCAAGCCCACATCACTGCCTGCTCAGGATTGCCCTCTGGCAGGAAATTGGCCAGGATGTTTATAAAGTGAATATACCTGGTGCACTGAGTGCCCTCAGGGTCATCTCTGTCCACGGGGTTCAATTCATCACTAGGTTCTGAAGGGAGTTCCTGAAGTCCATAGGATCAACCCAGGGGCTAGGTTGGCTTTCCATTGGAGTACTAACACAGCCATAAAATGTGTAAACGCTATGGTGGAGCATTACCTGAGATGCTATGTGGACTATCAACAGGATAACTAGGTGGATTTGCTGCCTTAGAATAACACAGTGCACAGTAGCTCTGGACTGACCTCCTTACATGTCACTAGCAGCAAGGAATTTGTCCCCATGCCCGAGCTGCCATGAGAGTTGCCATCGTCAATGACCCTGGCCAAATGGATGGAATTGCTATAGCTGGGTTGGGAGAATATAAAGCAAGCGCTAGCTGAGGCGACAAAGGCATACAAGAAGCAGGTGGATAGGTGCCGCTCTCTCCATCTGCCCTTCTGGATGGGAGATCAGGTATACCTGTCAGTCAAATACCTTAAGCTAAAATTGCCTAGCAAGAAAATAGGACCTAAGTTCCTAGGGCCATTCTCAATAGTGAAAATAATTAACCCAGTGACTGTACAACTTAGCCTCTCACTCTTGTTAGGGAAAGTACATCCAGTTTTCCATAGCAGTTTATTGAAAGCTGCAGTTAGCTCACAACTAAGACTGCGGGACTGGCCAGCACCTAAGCCAATGGTAGTGCAGGTGGAGACCCACTATGAGGTTAAAAAGTTATTGGACTCCAGGGTACATGGGGGTTGCGTGCAATATTTAGCCCACTGGAAGGGATACCTNGGTTATTTTTGTATTTGTGGATAAATGAAAAAATGTTAGTGATGATATTAGAAAGATTGGGGACATAAATGTACTTTTTATTCAGATGATGACCTGGTGTTGCTTGAGAGCCCAAAATATTTGCAGTGAAAGTTACATAGGCTGTATGATAAAGCAAGGGTTCTGAAAATTGATATATTAAAGTGCATAGCAGTGCAGAGGTGTTATTCAGCCAGTTCTCACCGGTTCACACGAACCCGTAGTGGAAATTTGGCCTGGGTCGACATGCCAGTAGCGACCATTGGCTGGCCACACCCCCAAATCAGTCACTCTGTCGCTGCTCGCTCACCCTGTCTGCCCGCTTGCTGCTCGCTCACCCCACCTGTTTGCTCAATGCTCAGTCCACACTCACTCACCCCACCCACCCAACGCTCGCCCCACCCATCCCAGCCCTATATATTTTCGGCATGCAGCCCAGCTACATTCATCACCAATCGCTTCCGTGCTTCACCCGCTTTGCTCAGCTCAGGAAAGGTAAGTAAGCATGCTGCATGCTCGCCCTTTGCCTTGGATTGGAGGCCGAGACCCCAGGGATGTGCCATTCCCCAGCTCTGGCTTTGCCCCCCTAGAGCCACCCCTCACTTGACACCCACATCGGCCAAGTCAGGGAATACTGCATTCCTTAGCTCTGGCCCTGCCCCAGAGCCACTGCCCACTATCCTCCTGTTTGCCCTCTGCCTTGGTCACCTACCTTCCATTCCAGTTGCTTTGGTGGGGGTGGATACACAGCAAGGCAAGCCACCTTTTGCAGGAAGCCTCCAGCTGCTGGTCATTTTCGGCTACCTTCTGAGCAACTCCACTGCAACGCCATCCCTCCAGTGAAGCATGCCATTTTCCTGGTCCAGTGGCTGGCGGCAAGCAGCACCAGCGGCAATGAGGTGTGCATGCATGGTTAGCTAGGATTAGGGTTAGGGTTAACAGAACAATGGCAGTGATCACGGGTCTTGTCCTGCCATCACCACCCTGTTTGTGCCAGCCGTGCATGCGCACCCCATTACCTGCTGGTGCAGCTCGCAACTGGCCACCAGACTGGCCAGGAGAACAGCCTGCTGCGCCAGAGAGACAGCATTGCAGTGTAGCTACTTAGAAGGCAAACGCAAGCCTCAGCCTTTAAGGTACTTCAACCTGTGGGGGAGGGGGGACCATAAAGGGACAGACAGCCATAGGAGCTGCCTTCTGAGCAGCTCCTTTGTGAAGGGAGGCAGAAAATTTCAGCTTCTCTGTGCTGCAACATTCAACGTGGCTGCTTCTCTCCTTCTTGGGGTCATACACCCAGAGCAAATGTGTGAAGAAGGTGAGAAGCAGCCAGGTTGAACGCTAGAAGACTTGGGTGAACTTTTCTGTGGGTTCTGTGGATGTGATTTGGGTGGGAGTGGCTTGGTGGGGTAGTGCCACCCCGCCTTGCTGTGAGTGATGCTGAGTTGGCCATGCCCAATCAGTCACATGACCACCACCACCACCAAGCCATGCCCACCAAACCAGTAGGGAAAAAAATTAAACCTACCACTGTAGCAGTTGTGTTTGACAGGTAAAATAGTGAATGACTGCAAATGATATTTAAATTTTAAAATGAGCAAATTGATTAATTTATGTATGTTAAAATTACTAAATGTGGAAAAGGGATAGAGAAAGTTTACTATTTGGAAATTCTGGCAAAAAGGTGGTGGGCATTTCTCTCTTCTGAGGAATCGTCATTTGTCAAAAGCAAAAATACAAAAATAATACAGACATTATTTGTAGATAGAATAGATCTCATTCCAACCCTTTATGTGAAAACTATCATGTCACTTTTAGTGTTTAAAATCAACCACATTCCTTTATAAATAAAACAGTATCACAGAAAGCAAAATGGACTCTTACCCAAGAAGGTACCAACCTTGACAGCTCGTTCATTTTTAATTTTTTCTACCTCAATTAAGTTCCGATCACAGAGCTCCCAGCAGTTGGGGGACATGATAATTTCACTTGCTTTGGCTAAGTTTTGGGCCAACCGTACTTCTTCCACTGCTCGACCAGTTACCACAAAATGTTGTCGTCTGTTATCACCAATGACAACTTTAGAGATGTGACCTGCAGAGACTCCTGAAAAAAGATTGAACTTCTTTATCAGAGATCCTAACGACAGCATACTGAAATAAAATGGGTGTGGGAGAGTTGAAAATGAAATAATTCTGCAATTTATATGTAGCCAGAAATACTTTAATTATTAATGAAATTTTATCTCTGCTGTTAAAAGGTAATGAGTTTTTGGACTAATCTTTGTGCCATTTTTTAAAATTATAGTTCCATTATTATTATTTTACTTTTGATCCTAAGTGTTGATGAAAGGGAATATTAATTTAAGAGAGGTTCCTTATTAGCTACAGCTTTCCTTTTGCTTCAGTTTCTCTCAGTACAGGATGACATTAACATACACATTGTCTTAAAGATCACTCAAGTGAGAGATATAAACGAGCCTGGAAAAAATGGATTGACTATATACAAAATAAATACGGGACNTCAAAACCGGGTAAGGACCGCGGGCGGGCAGGCGGCCCCTTCGCCATTCCCGGAAGTTACTTACTTCCGGGTTCGGTGACCAACCGGTTCGCAGGGACCGCCGCAAACCGGTTGAAACCCATCCCTGGTGTGCATACATTTGCCCACGCCAATTCATTCCTTCCCATCCACATGCACATTCGTGCACAATTCCTCCCCCCATGTGTGCACGACCCCTCCCCAGGCTCCAGAGGTTTTCCTGAAGCCTGGAGAGGGCAAAATGGCCTCCCCCTGGCTGCCCAGAGCCCCTCTGGAACCTGGAAATTGATCATTTCCAAACTTCCAGTTGGCCTGTTGAGCCGTTTTTTTACCCTCCCCAGGCTTCAGGAAAGCCTCTGGAGCCTGGGGAGGGCAAAAAATAGGCTCAACGGGCCAACCAGACGTTTGTTTCCCGAACTTCCGGTTGGCTCGTTGGGATCGCTTTTTACCCTCCTCAGCCTCCGGAGGCTTTTTTGAAGCCTGGGGAGGGAAAAAATGGCCTCCTCCAGCCCCCCCAGAAGGCTGAAAATCAGCTGGCCGGCACAGGCATGCGCACCAGAGCTGACTGCTGACATGTCAGCAAATATGGCTCTGCGTGCCACCTGTGGCACATGTGCCATAGGTTTCGCCAACACGGATATATACTTTTAACCCAAGCTTGAAATTCTTTCCTGATATTTATTTTCATTCTATTCATTCTGCCAATATGAATTACCATTGCAAACTATTAAAGGCCTTTTTGCATCTAAGATTAGTGCAGATTTCTTATTTCTATTTATATGTTCAGTTGCATTATGACTGTCATTTTGTCTTTTATATTTTTCTTTGGGATTAAACCAGTTTGGTCAGTGTGTATAAGAATTAAACACACTATTTCAACCTATCAGCTAATAAATAATTCAACAAGGAAATTGATCTTTATCATTGCGGCTTCTCTTTCTACTTTCAGACTTGCAAGATTTTGTTACTATAACCTCATAATGAAGGTAGTGTTGGTACCCATGGTTTGTCCTTCTCTCCTTGTTTACCTGAAAGGGCTATCTTCAGTCTTGCAAATCTCTAACTATTTCTCTCCTCTTTAACTTTTACTTTCAGGAAACTCAGGGGCAGAGGTGGGTTCCTACCAGTTCGCACCTATTCGGTAGAACCGGTTCGTCAAATCTACC